AGATTAGAGGTAGTGAGAGACAGATGTGGGTTTTAGTTGTGCTTATGCTTCCTATTTTTCCTCATGGGTTTCAGTCTGTTCTTGTTCCCTCCCCTGCACCCCCCCCCCCACCATTTCATCCAGCTTTCCTTTCAAATCGCTAGTCCTACTGACCTATGATGACTTCAAACTCACCACTAGATGCAGAGACACCAGCCTTACAAACTTCTTTACCAGCAATAACAATCTCATAATGTTTAACCCCTGGCATAAAACCCTATATTCATATCACTTGTAGTGGACCTACTTTGATTAAACCCCAACCATTTCTCTGCTGAGACTCTCCATTTATTCACTCATTCTGACTGCCCTTTAATTCCTTGTGCAAATGTGTTATATCTGCTATAAAGTCCTTCTAATCCAATAGCTGGTCATCTCTGGGTCAGTTTCTAAGACTGCTTTTTCTTTTAACTATTTGTCACATTTTCCTTTTTCTTCATGCACCTGCTAATTTTTATGCTATACTGGCTATTGTAAAGAATAGGTTGGAGATACCTTGTCTTCCTCTGACAAGTGTTGATTTTTATTTTAATCAGCAGATAAATAATTAGCTGATCACCTTGAGCATGTGGAAGCTTGGATTTACATTTTTGTTAGGGTGGGTCTGTTTCAACTTTGTCGTTAGGTCTAGAGTGAATCTCTTGGTCTTGGGACATAGTTTTTGCTCCTAAAGCATAACTCTTCTGTGCTTTCAAAGAAAATCCTGAGGTATTTACCACGCCTCTTCACCTTGGTGTGACTTAGACTCCAAACTGTCTTCATTACCATAGGCAACAGTTGAAATCCTTGTTCTGATTTTCAACTCTTTCAACTGTTGCTTTCCCCTGGGTACTTAGAGTCTCCCCTGCGTATATGTACTTTAAGGTCAGTCAAGAATTTGAGAGTAGTTTGTTTACATATATTAGGGCCAGCCCACCTGTAGGATCCCTTATTTCTAGGGTATTTTCTTTCATTTCAATACACTCTGAGAGCCCAAGTTCTGTTAGTTGATACTTCAAGATGGTAAATATAGCTTTCTGCTTGAATTATAGCTATTTCATTTAAACAGACTGGGGCATCCCTTAAGAAAAAAAAACCACATAAATGTGTGTTTCACCCAGTGTAGTTCTCTTGATTCAAGGGTTGAAGCTTCTTCAACCCTTGCTTCTGCCTGCTTTTGGCCACTTTCGCATGTCCTTAAATGTTTGTTTTTTAATATTTTGTTCAAATTTATAATTGTTATATACTGAAGAATTAGTCTATTGCAAGCTGCTCCCTGATAACTAGAATCATAACTTTGAGATAATCTTTTAAGGCTGAGGCAAAAGGAAGAGAGGAGTGGTGCTGTCTCTGAACCTTGTTAACAGAAAGAAAGAACTGGAGAGGTTTGGAAAATATGAGTAAAGAGGTGTCAAAACAATCTCCTCCTTTAATATATTGCCTTCCTTTGCTGGAAAAAAAAGTGAATGAGTGAGTGTGTAACACACAGAGAGAATGAGAAAGTGCTACAGAGCTACCCCCCTGAATCCAGTGCATAGGGATTAGAAGGTACTGGAGGAATATGCGGCAAATCTGTCCTAACTGACTATGTCAGTTGCTGGTGTGTGTGTGTGTGTGTGTGTGTGTGTGTGTGTGTATACACACCATGCACCCATCAGCAGGGCTAACTTGGAAAAATCTAAAGGCTAGTAAATAACACTGTCTGTCTCTCTTCCTCTCCCACTGCTAATTATTTGTTCTAAACTATCAAACAAGATGAAAATGATAAAAAGCGTGCCGGATAAGATACTTCAGGATATTTTACCTGTTTTTTCTTTCTTTTTCTTTTTTTTTAAATAAAGTTTTAAGTTAAACTAATGAACTTCATTCCTTCCTTCCTTTTATTCTTTGAGAGTGTGTGTGTGAGTGGGGGAGAGAGAAAGAGAAAGGGAAAGAGAAAGAGAGAGAGAGAGAGAGAGAGAGAGAGAGAGAGAGACTCTTAAGCAGACTCTATGCTCAGTGAGGAGCCTGATGCAGGGCTTGATCCCATGATCATGACCTGAGCTGAAACCAAGAGTTGGACGCTCAACTGACTAAGCCACTTAGGTGTCCCTGTCTTTTCTTTTAAACATGTCTTAGGATATCTGCCCAGGATGCTACTGATGGTTTAGAAATTATGATACCTGTTACTGGTCCACATTTTGGGGAAAACAGACAGCTATCAAAATGGCCAATAGGAGGCCTACAAGCCAAAGCTGGACTCCTTTCAATTTGATATCTTAGATATTGGCCCAGATTGTGTTTTCAATATTTTTGGAATTAAATGCACATTAAAAAATACAAATTCTTAGTTGTTTCCTTTAGATGATACATGTAACTCTTCAGTTCCCAGAACCACAAATACTGAGGCTTGTCTCTATTACTCACATTTCTGAACACAGCCTATCTGACCCCATAGGTTTTTGAGTTTGTGAGCCCTGCTCTAAATCTTGCTGGGTTGCCATTACTGTCTTGTGAATGCCACCATACTTACCTGTCTGGTGTTTAGGAAAAAAGGTCTAAATTGATCCATGGGAAGTAAGGATACATGTAAAATCCCCTAGAGAAAACAACAAAACAAACTACACCTGCCAGAAGGATGGCTTGAATGATGACAGATATTCCCACAATGCTTTAAGAAAGCTTCCCTTGGCCTAGATATGAAGAGTGTTTCTAGTGAGGAACGAGTTTGTGAGGTGAGACACACCACTGAGCTGCGAAGGATGAGATAGAGTGGCAGGCGAGAAAACAATGGAACTGTCTGTGACTCTTAAAAAGAGAAGACACATTGGGCAGACAGAGCAATTGGTAGTGAAAAAAATGTAGCAACATCGCAGAGTGGCCTCATAATAGATCAGAGCAGCAGGAGGCTGGATACCACAGTAGTGACCACATAGCAAAATGTCCTACACACACAGTGCAGGTGTGATGGCTTCTGAGCATGGAAGTAAAGAGATGAAAGATTAGAGTTGAGTTATGATATAATGAGGTGGAGGGAGAGGAGAAGACAATTGAATTTTAAAGATGGAAACAGAATTCTAAAGAGACTCTTGGGAAGTCTTTAAGGCTGGAGAGTGAGTAGAGAATTCAGGGCTACTCCTACAAAAAAGCCTTAAACATTAGTGGTTAAGAGTGTGGGGTCTAGGGATGCCTAAGTGGCTCAGTTGGTTAAGCATCTGACTCTTGAAATCAGCTCAGGTCATGATCCCAGGGTTGTGGAATCAAGCTCCATGTTGGGCTCCAGTCTGGGTGCGGAGCCTGCTTAAGATTCTCTCTCTCAATCTCTCTCTCTCTCTCTCTCTCTCTCTCTCTCTCTCTCAGAAAAAAAAAATTGTGTGGTCTAGAATCAGACACATGAGGGCTTTGCAATTAATCATCTAGATGACTGGGCAAGTTTTTAGCCTCTCTAAATTTCCTCATCTATAAAATGGGGATAGGATAGTATATACTTCATAGGATTGTGAATGTTAAGTGAATACTTATAACATGCTTAGTCGAGTTTCAAATAAATATTAGCTACCACTATTATTATTAGTAGTAGTAGTAAGGCATGAACACCTATGTGCTATGAGATGTGCATTATATCATGATCATGATCTGCATCACCCTACTTCATGTTAAAGCACCCACATGTCTGGAAGCTTTTGTTAAATAGCACATTTGACCTGGATGGTTTATTATCAGCAATGAACACATTTCAAAGGGATGGGCAGAAATTTGAGGAGAAGTTCAGACTGTCTGGATCTGGTTAGAACTCTTGCTCAATTGGTGGCTTTGAGAAGTGTGAAGGCAGCATGAGAACATTGGGCACTGGGAGGAAAGAATAGAAGACACACTGTACCTACTTTGTAAGTCAGTCTGAATTAGATATAGTATAGCTATATTCCAATCTATCTGGGAGTTGCTGTCTGCCATGTGCATGTTAAAATTTTCATTATAGCTACCTGAAATGTTTTGGTTGGGCTGGGCTAAGGAAGAGCTCCTTCATGCCTGTAAGCAAGAGTCTGTTGGGATAAAGGTGGAGGTACATGGAAGAAACCTTTACTCTTTTGGATCAGGAGAAAGAGCTGCTATAACTGGTGACATCATTGATATTGTCCAGTCTGCCTAAAGGAGGCTCTTCTCAGTCAAGAGCTTATAAAAAGCAGGCAATTGCCACAGAAATCAGATACTGGTCCCAGTGAAATTCAGCCCATGTGTCTAAAGGGAATGCAATGAATTGCTTTTCTTTTCCAATGCTTTCTTGTTTGGCTTCCATGGAGGTTTGTGTTTGTGGAAGAACTTGGGTCTAATTGTTGCAGACAGATGCCTGTGTTCTTTTAGCTGAGGCAGATGGGCAACAAGAGGAGGAGGTGGGGGTGGTTGTGAGGGAGGAGGTGACATTTGTAAATATGTCAAGGGACAATGAAAATTCACCACAAATGCAGTGGAACCTTTTAAATGAGAAGATGAAATGATCTTTTATAAATGATGTGTAGATCTGGGAAGACAGCAATGGCATCAGTGAGTGTATTGATTCTTGACTATCTGTGGTTACAGTGGATGAAAATCAGCTCTAAGGAGTGGCAATTATTTTCAACCTCTTCCCATATAACACGATTTCAAGAGTTGCTAACAATTTATAAAATTAACTGTTGCTTTTCCCCTTTCCATAACAAACAACAAAAGAGCCAAATAGCAGGCAGCATCAGGAAGAAAAAAGCGTTGTAAATGCCTTGAGCTAAACCTACTGCTTCTCTTGGTAGTCTCCAAAGAACTGATCATTTTGTGGCCTGACGTTTCTCTGGGGTTGATGCACATTTTGGATATACTCTCTAGTCAAGCCCCATAGACTACAGCAAGCACTCAAGACTTAAGCTCTAATTAAGCTAGGTCAAAGTCCCTTGTCACCTCCCCAAATCTCAATCAACTGGGAAGCTACCTTCCTGGTACCAGACCCTGGTTCTTTCCTTCGAGCACCTTACCCCTTTGTCCAGTGGAACCTTCACGTCCATAGAGAGAGACCCTGTTTCCCCATTGATCATGGCTGTTCTCAGCTTCAAGAGGAAAGATAATGGTATTAGTTCCCTGGCTCACACTGGAGGGCGGAAGGCACTGAGCTTTATTGACCAGACTGGAGGTGATCCCTAGGAATAGTTTCAGTTCTTCCCTTTTTCCTTTAAGCAGAATACACAGGAGGGAACATAGATATGATTCTAGGTTCCACTCAGCTTATAGTTCCAGGCATTCACCGAGATAATGCTCCCAAGTACACTGATGTATGAGAGAACATAGTGCCATATTACTGAGACACAGTTTTTTCTGAATGAGCTATTGACCCCAAAAGTCAGAATGAAATACCACTGGAGCTCAGCCTCTGTGGTTTACAGACATGGCTCATTCAGCCTCAGCACCCCCTGGGATTCAGTAAGATACTGCTATGTTATTACAGCAGTAATACAGAACTGCCTCTGGTCTGGACTTGGAAAGCCTCCATGGGGAGGAACAGGGTGGTCTCAGAGCTCATGGCCCCACAGCTGGCCTGAGTACTGGCTGTAGAGCTACACCAGCTTCTATTTCTCCTGCTTTCCCCACTCACGGTTTCAGCTCGGTCTTCCCACTCCACTTCAGAGAGATCCACGCTGTTGTAGTTAGGTTTGGGTTTGAGTTTCTTCCCGTCTCTGTACTGGAGTGGGCAGGTCATGAAGAAAGACATGAGGTTAAAACATAAGGCCCTGCTATAAAGCCTTACAGATATATTCATAAAATCAAAGAATCTCAGTGATTCTTTAAAGGTTATCTGGGTCAACCTTCCAGCTGATGCAGCATTTCCCTTCCCAACATTTGTGACAGATGGTTTCACGGCCTCTGAGTATTTCCCATGATGAGGAGCTCCCTATTTTGTGAGTCAGCCTGTTTTGGTTTTGGACAGCTCTAAATCGTTAGAAAGCTCTTCCCCATACAGAGCTGAAATCTGGCTCCTTGTTACTTTTACCCATTGGTCTTATTCTTTCTCTGGAGCTGCACATAATGTTTTCCACCTGACAACTCTTAAGGTTTGGAAGGTGCTTGTTACTCCTGACTTCACTTCTATAAGCTAAACATTCTCAGGTTGTAGATCCCTCAGGTCCCTCTGAATATGCTCTACTTTGTCCACGTCATTCCCAAAATGAAGTGCCCAGGACGAAAGTCAATATTTTAGATGGGGTTCTGACCAGTGTAGTGTGGGTGTGACCTGTGTGGACCAAAATATCGTATGGCTTTGACTGCTGCCTCTGATTCTACTGGATTTTCAGGGCAGCTACACTGCCCTAATGGCCCAAATAGAGTTTTCAGTCAGTTAAGTGCCCTTGGCCTTCCTCACATGGTACACTGTTAAATTGCATCTTTTCAATATTATGCTTGAGCATTGAATATTTTGCAGAACTTTCCATGCATCCTAATATATTCGTCTTGTTAGTTTCAGCCCATTGTTTATAATACTGCCTGAATACTAATTTCCTCCCTTAATGTATTATCCACACCTTCCAGACTTGGTGTCATCTGATTTCTATGTTTTCATCTTGATTGAATTCTTGAATGGGACAAAGCCAAGGACAGGCAGATTCTACAGTGCCTAATAAAGACCTCCCTCCAGCTTGACATAGAGCCATTAATCAAGTCTTTGAATGTTGTTGTTTTTTGGCCCTGACTTCCATCTCTCCCTGCCACCCTCTCTCTGATACCAAGACAGATATTGTCAAGGTACCTGCTACTAGGTTGGCAGCACTTCCCAGGTTTAGTTTAATAATAGATCAAAAAAGGAAACAGGATGGTTTATTGTCAGGGTAAATTAAGAATTAATCAGAGGGTCTACTTTTAGCAGAATGGGGCCCTGAAGATGCTTAAAAGACTGAAGTCCCCTATCACTGTGTATCTTGCTTCTGCCAGTTTTTTCTTTTTTCAAGAAAGTGTCACCTTATTTCTGGGAGATTTGCATGATAATGGCCCCAGTAGTATTCTTTCATTCTTCTCTTTTTCTCTGCACCCATGCTTGGATGATGCTTCTGTTCTTGGCCTTGGTGAAGCTGTGCTTATAGCAAACAGCACTGCCCTGCCATATTTTACACCAGATCTGTTTCTTTTGAGTAAGGTGCAATACTCGTCATTCATTTCTATTTTCTAATTCCTGATGATACATGAAAGATCATCTTTAGCTCATTTTATTAAAACCACAGTTCTACTTTGTATAACTTGGAGCACAGACAGAGAGATTTCAGGCCAGAAGTATGGCTCTTGATCCACTTTCAGTTTATTACTAGGCAAATCCTCTATTATTTTTATTTTTTAAATTAACTGTTATTCTTCTTAATACCTACCACAAATTGATAGTGCTTTCCTTAGGAATCTCATCATGGTGGCTTTACATAATAATGTTTGTTATGTAATAATATTCTACATGCTATTTTTCTCTAATCGTTTCATTTGTTCAAGTCTATTTGTGTATACTCTATTTCCTTAATTAGATATAACCTTCTGTTTATAGTATTCTCAGAGTGTTATAAGGTCAGGCACCCAGTAGGTCCACAATATTAATTGATTGGTTGAAGTCTTATATTCATCTAGATTATATAGATGGTGACCAATGAGTTTCTGACCATTGCCCTTCAATTTTACAAGTCAGCTCCATGATTGACATATTATTTTTTTTTCCTAGTGAATCATCTTATTGCCACTGGGAATGCTCCCTATAGAACCCACTGGTAGAGGTCAGTGACCCATTATGGGTTCAGATGCTTGCCCAGTAGAGTCTGAATTGGGAAGACAACATGGCTTCCAGTGTGCCCTGATCTCTACTATGAACTTCTATATTTTGCCTTAAATAGCTCAGTCAGTTGCTTTATGGACACTCAGTATCTATCTGAACCAAATTGAAATGGAATTTGGCTTAGAATGATTTCTTCAAGTGGTACCTGGGGCAGATGAGCCCCTTAGTAAGTTCTCACAAAGATGCTCTGCTTGGTATTGTCTTCAGCTGCCATTTCAATTTAGTGCTAAGGTTCAATTTAGGGCTAAGGTTCCTGTAGGACTTAACTGCCTTCTTCCTACTTCCCTGAACAATCACACTGAAAGGTGTGGCCATTGTCATCAATAGCAGCCAAGTGCCCAGACCAGAGTCATCAGGGAGCCCCTAGTGCTGGAGGCAGAACTTTTAGATAGAATGATGCAACTTTTTTGGTCATCAGTTGTTCTGTTGAATGCATGTGAAAATGTTCCCAGCCCCATGCATCAGGATGGAGCGAGCTAGGAAGGAGGCAGGAGTGCTAAGGAACATATCATCCCAAGACAAACTCTGGGGAGCCTCAGCTTTACTGCCCCTCCCCCCCCCCACCTCTCATGAGACTCTTCCCTTGCCATTTTTATTGTTAACTCAATGTTCACACCCCCTTGAGGAGGGGGCAGTCCCTGGAGTTCTGCTGATACCACTGTAAGACTCCAAGAGGAGTGTGGAGCAACTGAGGCAGTGACAGGAATGTAAGTGGAAGCTTGTCCTTCAGGGAAAACTGCACATTTCATTATATGCTTTCTGGACTGTTCATTAATCAGTTCACCTATTTTTTTGTTTTGTCTTTCCTGCTAGATTACAAACAGTTTGAAGATGGAAACCATGACTTAAATTTTTTTTCTTATATTATCTATTGGGTTCTTAAATGGAGCCCAATGTATGTTCATTGTTTTAACTGATTTTATGAACTGTCCCCAAATCCCATATAGTCAAGATCCCAATGCAAGTAAGATCTGTACCTACCAGGGGTCGGAGGTCAGGATGTGAGAGAATGTAGCCATTGTTAGTGTTCAAAAAGGCATATCCATGCACTCCGAGCTGCCAAAACAACAGGGATTGAGGGGCGTCAGACCTGTTGTTTGGGCTGGAGAACTGGAGCTGGGTGAGGGTTGGATTGCAGGACTATTAAAGATGGCAGCTCACAGCAGTGAGTTTTTCAAATAAGAATATAACTGAGCCAGCGTCATGCTTCTAGCCATTGAGTCTAAATTCCTTTCTAAGTTTTAGTGTTTGTAGCAGCCACAATAATGCATATGATTACTCAGCCTCTTCCCCATCACATGTTCTATCTAGGTGCTTTGATGATTTAATCTCATTTGTTCCCCAAACAGGACTGCATGGCATGGAGGAGCAGATTGAAAACTGAGGCACCAGGAAGGGAAAGAACTTTCTGAAGCCCACAGAGCAAGTCAGAGCTGGTGGTGACACAGGGTCCCAGAAATCCAAACCACTGCCACCAGGCTCAGTGCCTGTACTTCTCTGTGGGGTGGGATTGAGGGGCCCCATCCCAACTCTGGGCTTGGCTGCAATGCCTGCAAAAAGACTCCTGAGCCTGGTAGCACAGCTCCCAGGGAGCCTGTGACCCCCCACTCAGGCATCTGATCCAGGCTCACCTTGTACCGGGGTGCCAGTTTCATCAGCTCTCTCAGGGCCACATCAGAGCCCACCACACCCAGAAGAATGCCATGGGATCGCTGGAAAGAAAAATACCTGGTTCAGGGGAAGGCCAGGCTTCCCTGTGCACAGGGCTGGACTGGACCCTTGGCCTTCCCAGAACCTGGAAGATATAAGCCACTTCCTTATATGACCCTTCCTCTGCAGTTGGATTTTAGGCTGAGCTCTCTGGAATAAAAATCTAGAACCTACCGGAAGAGGCCCCAGGAGAAATCTCAGCTCCAGGGAAGATTAATTTCCAGTATTAATATTTAAATCATAATATTTAAAAGAAATACAAAGTTGAATAAAATATTAATTTTCATAGCAGAGGCTGAGTATCAGAATCTGAAGGACCATAATCTATGGATGCTCTGAACACACAAGGCCTATAAGGAAACATTTTCTGACCAGAGGATGGAAGTTCTAGAAAGTCCTTTACCAGAGGCCTTTACAAATTAGAGGCTGTCCAAACTGGTAGGCTAAGTGTTGTTTTGCCAGAAAGTTGGCAGGTGACTTTTCTAGCCTTATATCCTCAGGACAGTGGTCCCACGTGCAGAGAAATAAGACAACCCCAAAATGACTAAGCAGAATCAAGGGGTGAGTTTGGGAAGTATGGACCCCACTCCACCTCCCACCCTCACTCACCTCCCAACCAAGAGATTCTGATATAAATGGTTGGGCATAGGGCTTGGAATCTGAATATAAAACCCTTCTGAGGTGGTTCTGATGCCCATCCAATCAAGAACCATTGGTCTAATGATGCCAGCCAGGGACCCCAACTTTTAAAATCTTCTAGAACTTCTCAGAGAGCAGCCACTCACCGTTTCATTCTTCTTGCTGAAGACTGGCATGGCCACAGTGGTGAGGAGCATCAAGCTCTGTGCCTGTGTAGTGAATAACTGCCAGGGAGGAAAAAGCAAAGGACAGAGATCTCAGAGTCCATAGTGTGGAGGACCCACAGTCACCAATGTCAACTATCGCTGAAGTGTCACCTTCCAACAGGAAGACGAAACCACAAGTGAGGTTCCCCTTCTCTGCAAAAGGACAGCTGGCAGAAATGCTGAAGGAGAGAGGTGGGCTGGAAAGGGGACCAGGCCAGTGTCTCTTAGCAACGATAGTCTTAAACCAGGACAAGTGTCAAAACTCCAGAGCCCACAACCCAGCTCCCAAACATGCTCATGAAGTACTCTTGTCTTGGCCATGCCAACGATGAGCATGAGCCATGGAAGGGGCACATCACACACATGCCCAGAAATCTCTGCTATGGATCCAAATGACAGCCCAGGGCAGTTAAGAGGGAGAAGGACATTGACACAGAGCCACCCACAAACACAAGCACATGCATGAGGAAGCATAGCTCAAGGGCAGGCATAGTTGTAGCTGACCTCAGGGTCACTCCCAACACACATGGGACAGACCCACAACCTCTTCGTCACTCAGAACACCAGAGCCACATCATTCCACACCTCCCAAATGGCCCTCCTCCCTGACTGCCTCATCTCATTGTGCAGCCTCCTTCAGCCTCCTTGGAAGGGGGTCTGCACAAGCACCCCATGAAGCACCACTTCTTATCATGAAGATAGGTCCTCACAGGTGGCATGCACAGGTATGTTTAATATGTGTGATCTTCATCAGGATCAACCAAAGGAGGGTGCTGAGCCATGGAAGTCTATAGTATACTTTCTTGGAGAATGAATAACTTTTAAAAAATTGAATATATTTGACATATAATATTGTGTAAACTTATGGTGTTGCTTTGATACATTTACATATTGTCACATGATTGCCATTGCAGTGATGTTATTTACATTACATAATTATAGTAAGATATTGTCTATATTCATTATACTATGCATAGATCATTAACCATCAAGTCTCTTCCCCTTCCTCATCTGATTTTTCACTTCAGAGTTTGGAAGTAAGGTTTTCTGAAAGTGAGTAGTTTCAGTTAACTAATGTTTTAGTAGCTACTGGAACCGGGAGGACCCTGGGGTTGACCAAGGGGATGCAAGAAGCAGCCTGGGTCCCTGATGACCAAGAAGCTCCTCATCAGCTCTGGGATGCCACCTCTAAAGTTCTTTTACATGAGAGAGAAGTACACTTTTCTCTTATTTAAGCCACTATGTTCAGGTCTCTCTCAATCCCAGTCTGAGACTACCACTGAAGCAGATGGCTATGTATGTGATATGATTTGAAAAGTGCCAGGAAGGTCCCTCTTGCCCCCACACATCTCATCTACTTTGGCTATCTATTCCTTTGTGTAAATCACTGCAACCCACAGGCAGTCTCTGAAAGTGCAGGAAGGGGAGCACCTGATGAAGCCATAGTATCTTGAATTACTGGTTGGCTACCTTTCTTCCTGAAACAGGTAGGAGAGAAGAACAATGAGGAGGTGAGGACAATGGGAAGAAGTGGCACAAGTCTGGAGAAAAAGGGTTCTATCCATGGAGAATAGCCTTGGGCATGTCTGCTCACAGGGTTTCTGGGCCTCTGGGGGTGGCATACAATGGGTCTTCTAGTGGGCTGAAGGTATTCACCCCTTCACGCCATCTCCTGAGGAGGTGCTCTGCTCACCCCTCTCCTGACCCAGGAAGTTACCTATTACTCCCTGGGGCCCCTAACTCTGGAGCAGGGTCAGGCCCCCACCTTGCTGTCCATGTAGGCTTCTGTCCAGGTGATGTCATGGTCATGGTTGATGACCATGGGGCGGCTGAGCACGTGCAGGTACTCCATCACGTTCTCCTGTGCATCTGCCAGTGTGGAGATCTGTGTATAGTAGCCTGGCAGAGGAAAGGGTTGTGTGGTTGTGAAAAGCTGGGGGTTCAACTTGGAATCACTCTGCAGGGCCCACAAATGCTCCCCCAGCTGCTCTCAGCTTACAGGTTGGGCTCTCACTGGGAGCTGCCCTGGGCCACAGGGAACTACTTCCCCCAAGGTTGTGTCCTTTCCCGCGGGCAGCTGGAGGCCAGTGGTGCTGCCTTAATCTGGGAGAACTGTGGGGGGACCTCTCAGTCCAGAAATGCCACAGGAGCAGCAGGGGCCTTGTGGCTCTTTTACCCTCTCATGATTATGCCCTCCTCACTTCCTTACAGGGTCATCTCCCAAGAGCACCCCCTCCTGCAGGCAGCTCTGTATTGGGGTCCAGTCTAAGACAGTAGCTTGGTGTCCCCTAACCCCCCTATCTCTGACTACTGTCCTTCCTTGTTTACAGGGAGGGGTGCAATAGACTTTTGGTTGTAGCCACAGTGATATTTAAAAGAGCAAATGACTTATAAGGCTCTGAATGCCTTAGTACATGTTTACCTGTCTGGTCTCATTGTGCATCACTTCCCACAAAACATTCATTCCACCCTCCAAAAAGTGAAACTGCTTTCCATTCCCATCATGCTCTTATCTCAGACCCTTTGAACATGATCTTCACTCTCTCTGGAACACTCTTTAATGCTCTCTATGTTGGCTGACTCCTACCGTTCTCTATATCTCAGCATAGACACTTCTTCCTTTAGGAAGCCATCCCTGCCACCTCCAAATGGGGGAAGTGGCTCTCCCATCACTCTCCCAGCCCCTGTAAGGTCTGTGCCCCTCTGCCCTTACAGTTTATATCACCACTGATGGCTGATTTGTCTGTTTGCTCTGCTGGACAGCAACAAGAGCAAGACTGAGTCCATCCTGACCACAATTTGGAAACTTTGCCAGGCATGACAGTACATTCTCAATAAACTTTGGTCGAATCAATAGGGACCAAGTTGGCATTGCACAGCCCAGATCTTTGGCTCTGGCCAGAGACAGATGAGGACTGCACCCAAAACATTATTCTAAAGAAAATTATGACCCTCTGCTTTGTCTAGAAGCAGAACCAGAGTAAATGGACTTAATTTGCAACAGAGGAATGGAGGCTAGACATCAGAAAGAACTGACATTTAAACTGTAGGTCTCACCCCTGCATCACTCTGTATTATGATTCATACAGGCTTTATTTGAAGAGAGAATTTTCTCTTCTGCAAACACTGGACAGATGACCTCTCAGTTTCATTTCAGTGACTTTATAAGTTAGAGTCCTGCAGGGTAATCATGTATTTACTCAAGGTTTCCGGAGGCAATCTACATTTTGTCTAGATTTTTCCAAGTTAGAAGGAGGGGCAGATACTGTTATCTTGACACAGTACCTCTGTAAGGCCCCAATACAGGAGCCATGGCTTAGAACCTCCGATGACTGGGTGCAGGCTGCAAGCAGCTCTGCTCACACACCACCTACCTTTGTTGTTGCATGCAATCCACTTCATGCGGTCAGCAAAAGTCACTTCTCTTCCAATCAGATAAGTGAAAACTCGAACCTAATCCACAAGACACAGATGCACTCAGCAGACATAGATCCTGGCCATAAGTAGTGTTAATATTATTTATGTGAGTCTTGGATGTCAGGTCAAGCATTTTGCTGACTTTGAATTCTCCACTCTCATCCTTTTGACCAGAAAGGACCCTGAGGCCTAGGCAGCAATGGGACTTGCCAGGACCATGGTAATGTGAGCCAGGTATAGCGTGGAGGGTCACAGCCTGACAGTTTTCATCTGAACACCACATCTGGTCTCTCACCCAGAACACTCTCTCACATGAGTCCTCTGTGCCTAGGGTCACCATAATTTTGGAACACCAATCTGGGACATTTACCAATGTGTCTAATGGAGCAGGACATTTGAACTCAGGGCAGGCCTGGTTTTTCTGGGCACCACTGGTTATCCTATGCAGGCAGTAAGAGAACGCTTCCCTTGGCCCCTTCCCCTGCCCCCTTGACTTCCACCAGAAGGGTAACCTTGCGGTCAGGCCAGTTGTACTTCTCAAATACTGGCTCATAGTCTTCCACAGCCCCATCGGTGATTAGCATGATGGCCTGGTTGCAGAGGCTTCCTTGCCGGGCCTCTTGGAACTGTGTGGGGAAAGGACAGGTAACATGACTACAGCCCAACTGTCCCCCCCACACCTCCACCCCGTCTCCTAACCCTTTACTCTCCTGGAGCTTCACCAGGTGTCGGTACCTGCTTCAGGATCTGGAAGGCTTCAGTCAAGGCTTGGTTCACGACCCCCACACCCTTGACCATCAGCTCATCTACAAGCTGTTTGAAATGCTATCATGGGTAAGAAATTAGAGGAGAGTCAGTGGAATGATGGCCAAGGAACCTTCATCTGTGGTCTTAATTTCAGAGGCTGTTTAGAGCTATTTGCCCAGAACATGACTACAGGATCCATCTCTTCATGATCCAGCTAATTTCATGGCTGGACCCCACAACAGATGTTTCTTAAATGCCCCCAAGATAAACAGAAAGACTGCAAGTGGCTAGGTGCAAACACATCCCCACTACTGGAAGGAAATGCCAAGTGTGAGCCCATCCAGAGCAGGGAGGACAGTCCAGGCAGACCTGCTGGGAACCAATGCCCAGATCCCCAGCATCCTCAGCACCCAGACCTACATATCCCAATGGTGAGCATTTCACAGAAGAAACCATGGAGGCCGCCAGGGGCTCCAGTGTCCAACCCGAGGCTGGGATTCAAGAAGAAGCCAAACTCAAATTCTCCAGTCACAGAAAGAAGGATCTGTGACCTGCAAACTTTTCCTTTCAAAAAAGTTACCACATCCTCTCCTCCTTGGCCTTTGAGAAAGACTCAATCCAATGGGTTTGAACTTCTCTTCCTTTTGGGGAAGCTCTTCATGAGGACTGATACAGTGGAAAGACCCACAGAGGAGGCAAAGAGGGAAACTGAGTCATGGATAATCCACAGAGTGAAAAAGCAGTTCTGAATAAGTGAGATTTCCTTTGGATGGGAGGTCTCTCTTTGCTCACTATTCTGATAAGCAGGCAGCATATTTATGAGGCGATTTCTTGGGGGTATTTACATGGGTAACTGCTTTTCCCTCTTTCCAAGTGCAATGGGAATAAGTAAAGGGGGCCGTCAGGAAGTCTGTTCAGGTGACTGCCCACCATCCTAATCAAGCAAGGGTTCAGAAGCATCAGGCACTCACCTATGGTGGACACTCACCTCGCGATTGTCCCGATCTGCCTGGACAAGGATCCCTTTAAAACAAGGCTCGAGGTAATGGATGTAGTCACTGTACTGGAGTTGCAGAGGGCAGAGGGGACAGAACAGATAGGATCAGTTTGGAAGCTCAGGAAACTCACAGGCTAACTTGGCACCTGTGTAATATTATCTTGGAGTACCCTATGCTTCTGGCAGTTTTTCTGAGTAGAGAGAAGGGGGTACAGAGGACAGTGGGGCTTTAACTCTAAAAATTCTCCTCAAATCCTGGTCTTGGTCTTCTCAGATGGCTGAGTGATGTCCATCTCCTAGAATACACAGAGAACCTGAAGGCACTGAGAGAATTCCTTTGGTCTCCACCCTTAGGACAAGACAAAGTGCCTTCCACAAGAATCCCAGAGCCTTCTAGTTCTTCTATGTTCTGACCCCTCCCCAATGCCTGGGTATAGGGATTAGGAACTGAATTCTTTTACCTTTTGTCTTGCATTTATGATCAAGATCCTCTAGCTGTCAACAGGGAATGGGAAGGGGGGAAATGAATGACTACTGCCCTCTTTTTCTTAATCTCTCCATTTCCCTATAGTTAGAATTCAAATCTTGAAGATGTCTTTAATCTACTTCTGTTTAAATACAAGAGGGAGAGAAAGGGAGATGATGGTGACATGGTGGTAGGAGTGCAGGCAGATTATAGGGCAAGTGCTGGGGTGTTTTTGGGGAATGTAAGGAACAAATGTTTCTCCTGCCTCTCCTCCCCGAAAGCAGGAGAAGGGTTGGGAGAAAGGTGGGGCAGGCTCTGCAGGAGGAGCACACTCCCACTCTTGTGGGAGACTGAGGCCTGTCCTTGTAACTGTCCTGTCACTGCTGCAGGTCATGTCTAGGGATGGAAAGGTGGTGGAGTTGGGGAGGGCGAGGTCCAGGGGTGGTGTGGGTGGGTAAATGATGCAGGCCTCAGGGGAGCAATTCAGAGATGGGGGAGGGGCCCTTCTTATGCCTACAGGATGAACATTTTGAAGTTAGACCATTTTGCCTTGGTATTTCTTTACTAGATATATAAATTCCATTGAAGACAAGCATTTTCAGCAATGTGACAGAATGATGGGGAAAGCTTTGGATCAGGTGCCTTCAAATTGATGCCCCCAAGGTGGCAGTCAACTCTGCCTCCTTGGAGGGCTGAACTGGTCTGCTCTTTCATTGCATTGAAAGCATTCTTCTGACTTGTTATCTTCCCATTTCTTTCTGCTTCATCCCTCTCCTTCATTATTTTTCTAGGACAGGAAGACCTATCCTGTCTAGAGCTATCCTCAGGAAGATTTGCCATGCAAGCAGGACCAAGGTCTGCTGGTCCCTTTCTAGCCCTCACTACCTACATTCCCCTTCTCCTAATGTGTCTGGATTTGGTGGGACGAAGAAGATGGGGGACTGGGAATGTAAAAAGCAAGAGTGCAGGGCTCACTCATCCTAAGCATAATGGAGAGGCTGTTCCAGTGATGGGTACCAGTCAAGAGCACATGGATGGGGGTGAGTTAAGTATCTGCTCAGGGCAAGTGTCTCTTAATTTTTATTCTCAGACTCATCTGAGAAATTGATGAAATCTGTGGAGTCAGAAAAGTGGATGCACACATTTTACACACAATTTCAGAAACTCTGTGGATCCCTTAAAGCCCATCCTTGGTCCAGTTTAGGTTAGAAGCCCCAGCTAGAAGAGAATCATTCTACAGTGCGAAGCATCAAGTGATTGTACGTATAGGTCATTCTAGTGCAGGCAGAAAGATTTTTTTTCTGAGGAGAGCTATTCTAGAATAGGAAGGCACATTTACCGCAATGATATTAACAAAATCATTCTCCCCCAGTGTGTCCAGGATGGTGGAGATGGTGTGCTTGGCGATAGTCATCCGCAGCCCCTTCATGCTGCCACTCGTATCCACTACAATCACTATGTCCTTGGGAGAAGTAGCAGCTTGTATATACCTTTAACAGAAAGAAAGCACAGGCCAATAATGGGAAAACTAAAGCCAGAACAGCCACCCAACTGAATCTCTTGTTATTTCTATTCAGATTGTGGCTCAGGTGTACCCAAGGTTCAGGGCAATGATCCATCAATGCTAGCTTTTATCATGTCCCATAACCACTCAGCACAGTTCTAAAGCCATTTTGGGGTCAAAAGTTGGGACTGTGCTCATCTAATGGACGTATCAGGTGGGAGGAAGGTTCAGTCCCGGTGGTAACCCTTGTCCTTTTTGTTTTGGACCAGCCAGGGTCCTGGAGGGACAGGCAGCAGGAAGGGAGAAAGCTGGATTTCACCCTCAGATTCCATTACAAATCTGCCAGAGGAGGGGTGTGAAGGGAGGGGAGAGTCTGGCAGAGGGTTGATTTGGAGACAGCTCAATGTGCTGGAAGGAGGTTTGGGGTAAGAAAGACAAATGTGATGAATCCTAGAGCAAGGGCAGCTGCAGAGAAGGGAAATACAGCTGGCAACTCTTCCTGCTTTTGCATTGGGTTCAGGTTCTACACACCTGAAGCCCTTGGCTGGTGGTGGGGGTAGGGCAGTGACTGGAGGAGAACTGGGCAGAACCCAAAGGTTATAAGAGAGATACCAGCACCAGACCCGTTCCCCTGGAGCTCTTACCAGCCACGATTTCTGCAGTCAAAGGCAATGACTCCATTCTCATCAGGCGTCCATTTGATGCCTGGGGAAATAAGGGCTGGTTCTTTTACCAGCTCAATAAAGAGCACTCAGTAAAGAGCACAGAATGTCCAGTTTGGCCACCCTCAAGGCAGGGCCAGCAGTGGACCTGGACAGCAGATGTGGGACCACTAGATCACACCCTGTAAACTGAGGCAGCAGGCAAGGAGGAAGGGCAACTTATGGAGGGATACCTACCACCAACACTGCCCAGACCCAGAGTTGGGGTTACTTTTACAGGCCCCTCAAAATGTGATACCTGGGACCCATTTGTGACTGAACCTCACATCAAGTTGTAGAAGGGGAAGCTTGAAGGAGGTATGACAGTTAACATCCACTACCATCAGCAAAACATGGACAGAGCGATAAACAGCCAGGTACTCTGTTCTCTAGCTCACCCGCTTTACTCAGCTTAATTAAGATCGCTGGGAGAGGTGATTTGGCTATAAGACTGTAGGCTCCTTGAAGTCAAGGATTCCAGGGCCTAGTATAGTGTCTAACATAGTACCTAGCAGAGTTGATGCTCAATAAATGTTTGTTACTTGAATGAAAAATGAATGAATGAGTACGAAAGGTCTTACCTTGAGCACTCACAGAATGCTTTTGTCTTATTCATCTGATCAAAAACTTGGATAAATGTACACAATGCACAGATAACACTGACATGATCAATGATAGAATCTCTTTTGAAAGAGTTTAATGGTTGGGAATAGTGAGTTCAGAATAAGGAGATTAAAAATAACAGGTGAAAGTGTAGTTGGTTATGTTTGGGCTACAAAAAAGGTTGTGTCAGTATCACGAATGTCTAGAAGCTCCAAGAGATCATCCTTTTCCATAACAGTTAGACTTCAGATGAGGTACACCCTCTGAAGCATTGCTTGTCTCAAAGGTAGGAGATGTTTTCAGTGATCATGCCCCCAAAACCAAACAAGTGAAAGCCGAGTTTCAAGAGTGAGAGGCAGGGGCCCAGGCAGCCAGGAGCCAAGGCCTGGAAGGAAGAAACAGGACCAGAGCATGGTGGGAGCTTGAGTAACAATGGCTCTTATGTAGACCTGAAGGCCGCTGTGAGAAGTAGGGTTTTCCAAAGGACACATTCCTATAGCAGAAGCACAGGTGTGGGGAATCTGATCCTTAGAACAATAATGAGGAGGAGAAACTGTGTCTAAGGTTCTCAGTTCTGAACCAAAACCTTGGAAGAGGGGTTTAGTGGTCCTGGTGGGGGTACCCTCAACTCCAAGAAGAAACAGAAGTGGTGCTCTTGGGGGGAAGCTTGACTCTTGAAATGGTGTGGCCTCACAGGTAAAGATTACCAAAAACACAAGAAACAGGCAGTGTGAGTGAGAGGCAGCAGAAGCAAGAACTATCAGCTATATCCTCCCAAGGATTACAGGTATTGAAACTACCAAATACAAAGTAGAAGATAGCTATGTTGGAGAAATCATCAGGAAGAATAAATAACAAGAAGTGATTAGGAACAAAGAAACAGCCTTAAGAATATGGAACATTTTTCTAAATGTTGAAAAAAATTCATAACGGATTATGCAGGCAGAGGTCTGCATAAGAGAAAATCCATGCATTTGAAAGATTCCCCCAGAGACTAGAATGAGAAGGTCTAATATATATCTGGCTGGGGCTGTAGAAAGAGAAAAGGGAGAGCGCGAGGAAAGACAATGGTCACAGAACTGATGTTGGCAAATGCTCTAGGACTGAGAAACAGTCTGAATCCATAGATCTAGAAGGCACAGCATATCCCAAGCAGGATAAATAAGATATCCACATGTAGACACATAGTAGTGAAACCGCATAACTCCGAGGGTGAATACATACATACATACATACATACCTTGAAAACAGCCAGAAAAGCGAGAATGCTTACAAAGCAACAGCAGTTAAATTGATAGCAGATTTTCACAACATCAATGGAAGTCAGAAGACAGTAGAAACACAGTTTTAAGGTGTTGAGAGAAAATAATTGTGAATTTAGAAATGCATTCCCAGCCAAACAATCATTAAAGAATACAGCAGTTTTGATAGAGAACAACAGTGTTGTTTTCTGAAATCTGCTTGGGGGTTTCTAGCTCCTCTGTGCTATTTCTCAGGGGTGTGTCATCAAATGCAGGCTTAGTCACTCCTCTCCAAAAAAAAAAAAAAAAAAAAAGACTTGGCCTTTTCTGTTTAAATGAGATGACAACAGGAAATGATTTGTGTAACTCCTAAGAATAAAAAAGGATGAATTAAAAAGCAAAACAAAAAAGTGGGGATAAAATAAAGCGGTTATAGATAAACAAAGCAGGAGCAATTTACCACCAAGAGACCCACCAGAAAGGAACTTCTGACATTTACTTCAAGAAGGAAAAGGATCTTGAAAAGACAGCTTGGGGTGCATGAAGGAATGGTGGGCAAATAAAATAGTAAACAAAGAGTCCATTCCAAATAGGCATGTCTGTCTCAAGTAACAGCATAGTATCTAATTTGTGGGGATCAAAAAAGGGATATATTACATGACAATAGAATGGAAGCCAAGGTGGGAGAAGTGGACGTAAGCACGAGTCCTAAAGCTCTTTTGTGACTGGAGGAAGAGTAAAAATATTATTTACTTTTAACATCATGTGTTAAGTATGCCTGATAAAATTTCAGGGGTAATTACTAAAAGAAACAGAAGGATAAGTTCTAAACTGATAGAAAAATAGAGAAGTAATGAGGGAAGGAGATATTTATCAAAAATGCCAATCTCTGAAAAAGACAAACAAAGGGGAAAGAGGAAACATAAAAATAGAAGGACCAATAAAAATTTTAAATATCATATAATAGCATGTTTACAAATTTCAATACAATAAATGTAAACAAGTTTAACTTGCCAACCAGTAAAAGACATTGTCAGTCTGGATAAAAATTGAAAAGCTATGAGCTATTTTCAAGACATATGATTAAAGGAAAATGACATAGATGGTTGGAAGTAAAAGGAGGCAAAAAATATGTATTACCCAAATACTAACCAAGAGCAAACTGGTATCACTCTGTGGATATGAGACAAAATAGATTTATAACAAAAAGTGTCAAAGGGGCTAAAGAGAGTCAAGCAGACATAAATCAGCAAAGAAATAGAAAATTTAAACAATGCAATTAACAAGCTTGATTACCAACATATGCAGAATTTTTCATCCAACAATTAGAGCACACATATTCTTCTCAAGCACATATGGAATACTTATAAAGTTTGATGACGTATTTGATGGCATCTCAACTAACTTCACATAAATCAGTACCACATATGCCATGTTTTCTGAATGCAAATAAATTGAATTAGAAATTTATAATAAAAAGATAAGTATATGTGGAGAAACGGGAACACTCTTGCACTGTTGGTGGGAATGCAAACTGGTGCAGCCACTCTGGAAAACAGTGTGGAGGTTCCTCAAAAAATTAAAAATAGATCTACCCTAGGACCCAATAGCACTGCTAGGAATTTACCTAAGGGATACAGGAGTGCTAATGCATAGGGGCACTTGTACCCCAATGTTTATAGCAGCACTTTCAACAATAGCCAAATTATAGAAAGAGCCTAAATGTCCATCAACTGATGAACGGATAAAGAAATTGTGGTTTATATACACAATGTAATACTACTTGGCAATGAGAAAGAATGAAATATGGCCTTTGTAGCAACATGGATGGAAGTGTTATGCTAAGTGAAATAAGTCATACAGAGAAAGACAGATACCATATGTTTTCACTCGTATGTGGATCCTGAGAAACTTAACAGAAGACCATGGGGGAGGGGAAGGAAAAAAACAATTAGAGAGGGAGGGAGCCAAACCATAAGAGACTCTTAAAAACTGAGAACGATCTGAGGGTTGATGGGGGGTGGGAGGGAGGGGAGGGTGGGTGATGGATACTGAAGAGGGCATATTTTGGGATGAGCACTGGGTGTTGTATGGAAACCAATTTGACAATAAATTTCATATTTAGAAAAGATAAGTATAAAATACCTACATATTTAGAAATTTTATAAATTAAAAAAAATTTTATATTATATATATATAGAGAGAGAGAATCCCAAATAAGCTCCATGCTAAGTATAGAGCCTGACATGGAGCTTGATCCCATGACCCCATGATCATGACCTGAGCTGAAATTGAGAGTGGAATGCTCAACTGACTGAGCCACACAGGCACCCCTATAATACGCTTTTAAATAACTAAAAGATCAAAGAAGAAATCGCAAGGAAATTTAACAATATTTAGAAGCAAATGATAATTTAAACACTACCATAACACCCAAAACACAGGCAATAACTTCTGTGTATGAGAGGACACAATCAATAGAGTGAAAAGAGAACCACAGAATGGAAGATATCTGCAAATTATTTATCTGATAAGAGGTTAATATCTACCAAATATAAAGAACTACAACTAAAGAACAACAAAAGCAAACAATCCAATTCAAAAATAGGCAAAGGACTTGAACAGACATTTTTCCAAAGAAGACACACAATGGCCAATAAGCAGGTGGGAAGATGCTCACCATCCCTAATCATTAAGAAAATGCAAATCGAAACCATGATGAAATACCACTCATATCCTTAAGATGGCTACTCTCAATTTTTTTTTTTTTCACATGACAAGGATGGGGAGGAATTGGAACCCTTATGCACTTGGTAGAAATGTAAAATGGTATAGTTACTATGGAAAACAGTATGGATGTTCCTCCAAAAATTGAAAACAGAATTGCTATATGACCCAGGAATTCCACCTCTCAGGACATACCCAAAATAACCAAAACCAGGGTCTCAAGCAGGTATTTGTACATCTCTGTTCATAGTAGCATTATCCACAATAGCTAAAATGTAGAAGCAGCAGCTCAAGTGTCCATCTTCAGATGAATGAGTAAATAAAATGTGATCTATCATACAATGAAATATTATTCAGCCTTATAAAGGATGGAGATTCTGACATATGTTACAACATGGATGAATCTAGAGGGCATTACACTAAGTTAAATAAGCCAGGCATAAAAAGACGAATATTGTAGGATTCCACTTATACAAGATACTTAGAGTAGTCAAATTCAGAGAGATAGAAAGAAGAATGGTGGTTGCCAGAGGCTGAGAGGAAAAAGGGACGGTGAGTTATTTTTTCAAATTGGTAGAGTTCCAATCTTGTAAGATTAAGACAGCTCTGGAGATGGATGGTGGTGATAGTTGCAAAATATTATGAATGTACTTAATGCCACTGAATCATACACTTAAAGGTAGGTAGGATGGACTAGTACAAATAATACTAAAATTTGTATGGAACAGCAAAAGACCCCCCCAAATCGCAAAGCAATCTTGAGAAAGAACAAGGCTGGAAAAATCAATTGCTCTGATTTCAAACTATACTACAAAGCTATAGTAACCAAAACAGTATGGCATTGACACAAAATAGACATATAGATCAATGGAATAGGACGGAGAGCCCAGAAATAAATTCACAATTATATAGTTAATTAATCTACAATAAAGGAAGCAAGAACATACAATGGGGAAAAGATTATTTCTTCAATAAATGGTGCTGGGAAAGCTGGACAGATAAGTGCAAAAGAATGAAGCCAGACCACTTTCTTACACCATATAAAAAAATAAACTCAAAATAAATTCAATACCTAAATGTAAGACCTAAAACCATAAAATTCCTAGAAGAAAACATAGGCAATAAGTTCGTCATTCTTAACAATATTTTTTTTGGATAGGTCTCCTCAGCAAGGCAACAAAAATAAAAATAAAACGGGACTATATCAGGACACCTGGGTGGTTCAGTTGGTTGAGTGTCCAACTCTTGATTTCAGCTCAGGTCATGATCCCAGGGTCATGGGATCAAACTCCGCATTGGGCTCTGCACTGAGCATAGAGCCTACTTGAAATTCTCCCTCATCCTTTCCCTCTGCCCCTCTCTCCAACTTGGGCTCACCTGTGGTCCTTCTATCTCTAAAATAAAAAAATAAGAATAAAAACGGGACTACATCAAACTAAAAAAATTTTTTAGTGAAGGAAATCATCAACAAAAGGCAACCTACTAAATGAGAGAAGATATTTGCAAGTGATATATAGTAAGGAGTTGATATCCAAAATATATCAAAACACTCATAAAATTCAACAAAAAAACCAACGTGATTAAAAAATGTGCAGAGGACTTGAACTGACATTTTTCCAAAGAGATGCCCAATCGACACATGAAAAGATGCTCAACATCACTAATTATCTGGGAAATGCAAATAAAAACCATAGTAAGATACCACCTCACACCTGCCAGAATAACCATTATCAAAAAGACAAGAAATAACAAGTGCTGGTAAGAATATGGAGAAAAGGGAACCCTTATGCACTCTTGGCAAGGAATGTAAATAGGTGCAGCTACTCTGGAAGACAGTATGGAGGCTCCTCAAAAAATTAAAAACAGGACTACCATACAATCCAGCAATTCCACATCTAGATACTTATTTGAAGAAAATAAAATGCTAATTTGAAAAGATATATGCACCCCTATTTTCATTGCAGCACTCTTCACAATAGTCAAGATATGGAAGCAACCCAAGTGTTCATCAATACGTGAATGGATAATGAAGATGTGGTGTATATGTACAATAGGATAGTACTCAGCCATAAAAAGAATGAAATCTTGCCATTTGCAAAGACATGGATGGAGCTAGAGAGCATTATGATAAGTGAAATAAGTCAGAGAAAAACAAATACCATATATGTGGAATCTAAAAACAAATGAACAAACAAAAACCAGAAAAAGACTCATAGATACAGAGAACAAACTGGTGGTTGCCAGAGGGAAGGGGTTGGGAAATGGGCAAAAGAGGTGAAGGGGATTGAGAGGTACAAAGTTCCAATTATAAAATAAATAAGTCACAAGTATGTAATGTACAACATAGGGAATATAGTCAATAATATTGTAATAACTTTGTATAGTAACAGAGGGTAACTAGACCTTTCCAGGTGATCATTTCATAATGTATAAAAATATCGAATCATTATGTTGTATGCCTGAAACTAGTATAATATATATCAATCATAATTCCATTTTATAAGTTAGGGTGGCACATTTTATGTTATATGTATTTTACCATGATTAAAAATTTTAAAAACCACTACTAACTGCACCTGTGAGATGCAGCAAAAGTGGAGCTTCTAGGGCCAAGGTATTGCCATAAATGCTTATTTTAGACATAAAGAAAGGCTTAAAATTAAAGCTAAGTGTCCAATTTAATAAGTTAGAAAGAAGAACAGTAGAACACACTCAAGGAAAGGGAAAAGAGGAGATAAGCTCAGAGCTGAAACAGATGACTTGGAGAACAAAGATGCAATAGAGAGCAGTCCACGAAGACAAAAGATGATTCCTACCTAACAAAATAGAGAAACCAGTGGCAGGATAATGAAGAAAAAAATGAGTAATACTATAGATAAAAGGGGACATAATTGTAGATACAGCAGGGATTAAAAAGATGACAGAATAATAGCTTCCTGGAAATAGTTTTGAAAACCCAGATGAAAGGGATGGATTCTTAGAAAAAGAATTTTACCAAAGTAAGAAGAAATAGAAAATCTTATGAGTCTTGCAAGTATTAAATATATTGAAGTGGTAATTTAAAATATCCCCATAAAGAAAACATCAGGTCTATATGGTTTTATAGATGAATCCTAACAAACTTTTCAAGGAAAGGATCAGTCTAACTTATTTAAATACTTCTAAGAACCAGAAAAAGAGGGAATACTTCCCAGTTTATTTTTTGAAGCTACTATAATTTTGAAAACCAAAGACAGTATAAGAAAAAAATTTACAAGACCATTTCACTCATGAGTGCAAAAAAATCCCAAACAAGATCATTAATAAACTAAATCCAGCAATGCACAAAAGACTAATTTACTATGATCAAGTTATGTTTTCATATCAATGTAAGGATGGATTAACATTGGAAAAGTCAATAGATAATTAGACAAATGCCATAATAGGCATTCACAGAAGAAGAAATACATACAATACATGACATATGAAGAAAGAGATACTCAGCTTCACAACTGATCAGCCAAATGCAATGCCAGACCAGTGAAATACCATTTTATACTAAAGGGTTATTAACAAAATCTTTTAATGTTTAACAATACCCAGGATTTCAGAAAATGTGGGTCAACAGACTCTCTTATTCATGACTGGTGGGAATATAATTGGTACAAGTATTTTGGAGAACAATTTTGCACTTTCTTGTCATAGTTGAACAGTCACATATCTCATAACCTAGCAATTCCATTCCTAGGTACATACCCAAGAGAAATTCTCAGAATATGTCTCAGGAGACATGTATAAGAACATTCATAGCAACACTGTTCTTAAAAGGAAAAAAAAAAAAACAGAGAAGAAAAACAAAAAATTGCAAACAACCCAGATAGGATCAGGAGGATGAATAAACTGCCATATTGGCCCACAAGAATATGATATAGAAAAAAATGACGAAGTACATATGTGACATATGTGACAGCCCAGATGAATCTTGCTAGTATAATACTGAATGAAAAAGCAAACTCTGAAAGTCTATACTCAAAACCAGTTTAATAAATTTTAAAAACAAGCAAAACAAAACAATATATTGTTTAGGGAGATGCCTGTGTGTTTGTAAAAATGATATAAAACTAAGCAGAGAGCCAAAAAAGTCAAATAGAGGGATAAGTTCAAAGTGGAGAATAGTTGTTACCTGGTCAGTTGAAGGGGGTGAAATCAGGGAGAAGTCAGAGGGGCAGAGGCCAGAGGAGGAGCACATAAGTAAATAGAGGTTTGGTAACATTCTAGTTTTTGTGTTGGTGATGTAAATACAAGCATTCACTGTATTATAAATAAAAATAAAAAAAACACAGAAATAGGCCTGCATGGACCCATGAGAACAGTGTACCATGACCGTGGATTATGGTCACCCCAATACTGTGCACCTAAGGGCTGATATACATCTATAAATGTGGGTGCGGATGTGAGAAGTTGCCCTCCCCTCTTCATAGACTGATGGGCCATATCTGGACTGTTTTGTCTGCACACAAGTTGATGTCTCTGGATGTGGCAGAAATGTGCAGGAATTGGACCCTGAAGAAGACCTGAAGGACATGTGAGTTGTCTTCAAGCATTTTAAGGGCTGTTCTAAGGAAGAGGGATGAGCTTGCTTGTTGAGGCTGCAGAGAGCAGAGAAAGAAAGTGACTGGTTGTGGATTTGGGCAGAGAAACAGGGGCATGCTAAAACCCTGTGTGTGAGTTCTAAGATCCCTGTGTCTTTCTGCAGAAGAATTAGCTTTTCCAGCCTGGGGACACAGAAGGGTCTTTTAGGACTTCTGATTTCCTGTCTCAGAAAAACAGGGCAACTTCAAGACTTTCAGGAGTGTGCTAAAATATAAAAATGGGTTGGAGTAAAATGCAAACCTGTGGTAGATGTTTCTGTTTTCTACTTTTATTGATGGACAAGGGACTTTTCCCGTGCCATCTATTAAGTTTGCCACTAATCACATACTAACTGGTGGCACTTTGTGTATTGCTGTTGAAAACTTCAAGTGAATATGCTCCATTTCTCCAATTAGAATGTAAACTTCTTAAGATCCAGAATTGTTTTATCTTCCTTTGCATTTTCCACAGTGATTTTAATAGGACAAGAGTTTAATGTGGGCATTTTGTGATTAGTTACCATGGTGTTTGATAGTTTCATTCATTCATTCATTCATTCATTCAACAGCTATTTATTGTAAATGTGCTTATCATGTTGTGAAGGGTGTCAAAATGTGGTTTGGAGATGCTTTTGGACAGGAGGGGCGTCCATTCACTGGGGGTCTCAGTGCCAGGGCCCATCTTCAATGTCTTTATTGCCTTTGTCCCAGAAAAGCTCAGAAGACCATGGAGATGCCTCCTGATATCCCTACCTGGATAGATCCTGAAGAATCCAGTGGAGCTGCCAAAATATTGCCATGTCAGTGTCGGGTCTCTTTGGAAATTCTCCACAAAAACCGTGTTCAAAGCTTCAGACATGTAGACTCCATTTAAAATGTCTGGGTCTAAAAGTTGAAATTATAGAAAGAACTGCAGAGAAACTAAATCAGAAGAAACAGTGACCATCTTTTACCTGCCAAACACACACGCAGCCTGCAGAGCTGTAGTTTACAACTTTCTGCTACGTTGCATTTGGCGAGCCACACTCACACCCTCTAATCCAGGAATGCTGAGTTTTCTTCCAGCCGAAACTGGCGTAGAATACTTTTTCTTGTTCTCCCCAGTCAAGGAGGTTGGAGAATCAGATTACACTCCTCAAGTCTTCTCAGGAAAATGGAGGCAAATCTTTAAAACTCACCAGTACCACCTAACAACTACAAACTGTTAAGAGAGAGTGCCAGGTTGCGGGGTGGGGCAAAGGAGCTACCTTTGTTGTACACGTTCGTGGGCAGCTGCACGCTGCTGATGGAGGTGTTCACCATCAGGTTGCTGAAGTGCGCATTGGATTCAAGGACAAACTCAGCCCCCAGCTCCACGTAATTGCCATTCTCATCCCTCTCGTTGATCAGGACAGAGTTGTAATAGTTAAACTAGGGGTGGAGGGGAAATAGCAGCACAGAGACAGTGTGGACACAAGAGACACACAAGGTGAGAAAGAGAAAGAGAAATGGCACAGATCAGAGCACTCAGATGTGAGAGGTGGGGTCAGACGGGCTGACAGCATCCATACAAGCAACATCCATGGACAACTGAGGCAGTGACCTGTATTACACATTTGGACAAATACAGATCCCAGACAGTTGGAGAGCATGGTTGATTCACTTGGTTTCTGATGTAAGTTGTCTAGATTACTGCCTCAGTTCTCCACTTTGTTTGTCATGTGTGGGCATGACCAGATCAGAGCCAGAGACCGGTAGGTAGAGGTCCAAGGTGAAGTAAAGAGACAGGGGCAGCCTCATGGGCACCATCAATTTTCTTCCAGTGTAGGAGGGCTCCTAGGAACCCAGAGTGGTGGGTCCTGAGAGGTGAGGCTTCTCTCTTTAGAAAACAGCCTTCAGGGGCGCCTGGGTGGCGCAGTCAGTTAAGCGTCCGACTTCAGCCAGGTCACGATCTCGCGGTCCGTGAGTTCGAGCCCCGCGTCGGGCTCTGGGCTGATGGCTCAGAGCCTGGAGCCTGTTTCCGATTCTGTGTCTCCCTCTCTCTCTGACCCTCCCCCGTTCATGCTCTGTCTCTCTCTGTCCCAAAAATAAATAAATGTTGAAAAAAAAATTTTTTTTTAATTAAAAAAAAAAAAAGAAAACAACCTTCAGCCTGGGCCCGAGGCAGGGTCTGTGGCCCCCGTGTCCCTCTGAGGAGCCAGCAGTGTGCTCTCTGCCTCTAGCATGTAGTGTTAAAGGGTCTACTTGGAATACCACACTTAGAGCCATGATCAGACCTACCCCACTCCCTCCACACCACCTGGTTCACATCTTGAACAGCCCCCTCAGGGCACCCTATGTCTTGCCCCACACCACAATACTGCTGACTGCAAGAGCTTTCTTTCTTTCTTTCTTTCTTTTTTTACAATCAAGAATTTATTTAAGTTTTCATCATTTTTTTAGAAATGAAAAGGTCTAAGGACAGATTTGCTTTTTATTTTTTATTTTTTTAATTTTTTTTTCAACGTTTATTTATTTTTGGGACAGAGAGAGACAGAGCATGAACGGGGGAGGGGCAGAGAGAGAGGGAGACACAGAATCGGCAGCAGGCTCCAGGCTCTGAGCCATCAGCCCAGAGCCCGACGCGGGGCTCGAACTCACGGACCGCGAGATCGTGACCTGAGCTGAAGTCGGACGCTTAACCGACTGCACCACCCAGGCGCCCCCAGATTTGCTTTTTAAAGCAAAAAAGTTGCAAAAATGAAAAAATGATAAAATGTAGTTTTGTTATATCCTAATTGCTTAAGTGTGCTCTGTAAATTCCAAATAAGTAAAATAATATAAAAAATATTTTCAAATCTTTATAGAATGAAAAGAAAACCACAATCATTAAATACTCTTGGATTTCCTTTACTCCTCCCACAGATGAATTCACAAATATATAAAAACTGACATACATTTATCCTCCTGCTGGTGTTGATCCTATTATCTGGGAACAAGCCAAGGTGAATAACCCTGATTCTGAAAAGTTAATTCCGGTACTCATGGTGGGTTTCAAAAAACTTCTTCGAAGACTGAAGTTTCAAGATCAGATGACTAAGCAACAGCAGACCAGATTAGATATCATATCTGAAGATTAGCGAATTACAGAAGAATCAAACCACAACTATGGCCAAAATTGCACAATACAAGAGGAAACTCATGGACCTTTCCCATAGAACTTTACAGGTTCTAATCAAACAGGAAATTCAGAGAAAGAGTGGGTATGCCATTCAAGCTGATGAAGAGCAGTTGGGAGTTCAGCTAGATACAATTCAGTGTGAACTGAATGCACCTACCTAGTTTAAGGGCCGACTAAATGAACTGATGTCCCAAATCAGGATGAAGAATCATTTTGGTACAAGAGCTTTCTAAAGCACAAATCCAGCTGTGTCCCTCCCCTGCTCAAACCCTTCAGTCTGTGACATTCCAGGCTGAGTTGAGGCCAGATTCCCATCTGTCCACAGTCACTTTCTACTTCACCATCCCCTGGACATACAGAACTGACCATTCACAATTTCCTCTATCTTGTGTTTTCCTATTTCAGTGACTTTTCTTTTCCCTCAGCTTCTCCATGCCTTTCCTGTTCAAATCCCACTCAGCCTGAGGCTGGTCCTAATGCCACCCTGTCTGCAGGACTTTCTGAGCCTCTACTCCTTCCCTTCTGCATTCTTGTAACTCTGTTAACCAACTCTTATGGACATGTTACATATGCCTCATGCTAGAGTTATTTGGTCTATGAGCTTCTTGACTTTTTATCTATCCAGAGGCTAGCACATGGTGGTTGGGCAAAAAATGTTTATGGAATGGGTGGATTGTCCCTCTATGTCCCCTGCCCCCCCCCAAGTCTTGAAAATTTTCTCTCCTATCTGGTCCATAAATCTCTTCTGAAAAGACTGGAGAGTATTTCAGAATCAAGCTATTACATGGTCATACATATCCTATGCACATTAAAAGATGGTGCTGGACTGTCTACCTTCCCCCACCCCTCTGTATCTTATACCCAAGGGACCCTGGCTCTTGGTGGGGGTTTAGTGATTAGTCATCATACCCTCCCAGCAGCAGCTCTGGGAGCAGGACTCACCACCAGCGATTCATTGAATTCATGGTTCAGGTCAGCCTCCTCAGCAGCCTCTACCAGATTCTGAAGGATGGAAACACAAAGGGGAGAATGAAAACAAGGCCAGTAGGTCTTCAACAATTTCTACTCCTAAGAATATACCCAAGAGAACTGAAAATAGGTACTCAAACACTAACCTGTGCACAAATGTTTGTAGCAGCACTATTCACAATAGCCAAAAGGTAAATGCATATTATTAAGTGAAAGATGCCAGTCTGAAGAGGTTACTTGCTGCATTCCAACTACGTGACATTATGACATTATGGAAAAGAAAAACTATGGACACAGTAAAAAGATCAGTGTTAGCCAGAGGTTTGGGAGAGGGAGAGATGAATAGGCAGAAAACAGACAATTTTTTAGGGCAGTGAAGCTATTCTGTATGACCTATAATAAGCTAAGTGAAAGACTCCAGATATAGAAAGTTACATACTATATGATTCCATTTTTGTGAAATATTCAAATGGAAAATCTATTGACAAAAAGCAGATTAGTGGTTTCTGGGAGCTGGGAAGTGAGAGTGACTGCTTAATGGGTATAGGGTTTCAGTCTGGAAGTGATGAAAAGTTCTGGAACTCGGTGGTGATCGGAGTTGCATAGATGCATAGAGTGTATCTAATGCCACAGGATTGTACATTTTAAAATGGTAAAAATAGTAAATTTTATATTATGTGTATTTACCATAATTTTTTTAAAGAAGGATGTCAGCATTACAGAACATGATGGGAAGTAAGGAAATTAAAGAAGACACAGATAATGGAAAGATCCCTTTTTATGGATTGGATGAATTAATATTGTTAAAAGGTCCATACTACTCAAAGCAGTCTACAAATTCAGTGCAACCCCTATCAAAATCCTAATATCATTCTTTACAGAAACAGAAAAAAAAAACCACCGTAAAATTCATGTGGAACCACAAAAGACCATGAATAGCCAAAAACAATGTTGGGTAAGGAGAACAAAGCTGGAGGCATCACACTTCCTGATTTCAAAATATATTACAAAACTACAATAATCAAAACAGTTGGTATTGGCAGAAAAAACATATAGACAAATGAAATAATTTGAGAATAGAGAGCCCAGAAATAAATCCATACATTTATTTAAAAAATTTTTTTAAATGTTTTATTTATTTATTTTGGAGAGAGAGAGAGAGTGCGCATAAGCTCAGGAGAGGGGCAGAGAGAGAGGGAGACACAGATTCCAAAGCAGGCTCCAGACTGCCTGACACAGAGCTCAAACTCACAAACTGTGAGATCATGATCTGAGCTGAAGTCAGACACTTAATACACATGCACCTCTAATCCAGCATTTAAAACAATTGATCTTGAAGGGTGCTAAGTACACACAATGGTGAAAAAAATAGTCTGTTCAATAGATGGTGTTAGGAAAACTGAATATTCACACGCAGAAGAATTAAATTGGATCCTTATCTTATACCAAATACAAAAATCAACTCAAAATAAAGACTTAAATGCAAGACCTGAAATTATAAAATTACTAGAAAGCATAGAGAAAAAGTTTCTTGTCACTGGTCTTTTCGGGGAGCGTGTGACACCCAAAACACAGACAAAAAGCAAAAATAGAAAGGGGATTGCATCAAACCAGAAAGCTTCTGCACAGCAAAGGAAACAATCAACAGAGTGAACCTATGGTTGGCAAAACTGGAGAGCTACATGCAAAAGAATGAAACTGGACCACTTACTTACATTATACACAAAAATAAACTCAAAATGGATTAAAGACCTAAATGTGAGGCCTGAAACTATAAAATTCCTAGAAGAAAACACAGGGAATAATTTCTTTGACATTCACCATGTAAATATTTTTCTAGATAGGTCTCCTCTGGCAAGTGAAACAAAAGCAAAATTAAACTATTGGGACCACACTAAAATAAAAGGCTTTGCACAGTGAAGGAAACCATCAACAAAACAAAAAGGCAACCTACCAAATGGGAAAGATATTTGCAAATGATATCTTATAAGGGCTTAATATCCAAAATATATAAAGAATTTATACAAGGCAACAGAAAAAAACCCCAAATAATACAATTAAAAATGGGCAGAAGAACTGAATAGACATTTTTCCAAAGAAGACATACAGATGGGCAACAGACACATGAAAAGATGCTCAACATTACTAATAATCAGGAAAATGCAGGCTAAAACCACAATGAGATATATCTTTGTACCTGTCAGAATGGCTAAAATAAAAAACACAAGAAATAACAAGTACTGATGAGGATGTGGCGAGAAGGGAACTCTTGTGCACTGGTGGTGGGAGTGTAAACTGGTGCAGCCATTGTGGAAAATAGTATGGAGATTCCTCAGAAAATTAAAAATAAAATTACCAGATGATTTAGTAATTCCACTACTGGGTATTTACCAAAAGAAAATAAAGACACTAATTCATCACCACCATCCACCTCCAGAACTCAAAAAAGAAAAGAAAAGAAAAGAAAAACACTAATTCAAAATGATATATGCATTCCTAGGTTTATTACAGCATTACTTACAATAGCCAAGATACGGAAGCAACCCAAGTGTCCACTGATAGATGAATAGATAAAGAAGATGTGGTGTATATACAATGGAATATTAGTCATAAAAAAGCATGAAATCTTGCCATTTGCAACAACATGGATGGACTTAGAGGGTATAATACCAAGTGATATAAGTCAGAGAAAGACAAATACCATATGATTTTACTCATATGTGGAATTTCAGAAACAAAGCAAACAAACAAAAAAAGAAACCAACAACAACAACAAAAGGCTATTAACTATAGGAAAGAAACTGACGGTTACCAGAGGGGAGGTGAGTGGGGGATGGGTAAAATAGGTGAAGGGGATTAAGAGTGTACAACTTGATGAGCACTGAGTAATGTTAAAAAAAAAAAAAAAAAAAAGTCAAAGGACCTGAATAGACATTCCCCAAAGAAGACATACAATGAGCAACAGATATATGAAAAGGTACTCAATTTCACAAATCTTCAGGGAAATGCAAATCAAAACCACAAATGAGATACCACTGCATACCTGTTAGAAGGCTGTTATTAGAAAGACATAAGATAACAAGTGTTGGTGAGGCTGCGGAGAAAAGAGAATCCCTGCGTTGTTGGTGGGAATATAAATTGGTACTACCATATGGAAAACAGCATGGACATTCCCCAAAAACTTAAAAATAGAACTATCATATGATCCAGCAATCCCACTTCTGAGTACATATCAAAGTAAATGAAATCAGGATCTCAAAAAGATCTCTGCACTCCCATTTCACTGAAGATAATACCAATAATAGGGAAACAACCTAAATGTTAGTCAACATGATCTCTCTCTCTCTCTCTCTATTCTATCTTTATTCAGCCTTAAAGGAAAACCGTTCTACTTGCAACAACATGGGTAAACTTGAAAGACATTATGCTAAGTGAAATAAGCTAGATACAGAAAGACAAATATTGTATAATATCATTTATATGTGGAATCTAAACTAATCAAACTCATAGAAACAATTACCAAGAGCTGATGGGGGAAAGGCAAAATGGGGAGATGTTGGTCAAAGGGTATAAAGTTTCAGTTATGCAAGATAAATAAGTTGTAGAGAACTGATGTACAGCAATATGACTTTAGTTGGCAGTTTTGAATGTTGGCATTCTTGAGGTTTGCTAAGAGGGTAGATCTCGGGTGTTCTCATCACACATAAATAAATAAAGGAAGGCAGGCAAGGAGGCAGAAAGGGAGGGAAGGAGGAAGGGAGAAAGGAAAAGTGAGAGGTATGGATGTTGGTTGGCTTGGTTGAGGTGAATATTTCACAATGTATATGTATATTATTGGGTAATCAGGTTGCACACCTTAAATATACATAATTTTTGATTGTCAATTGTACCTCAATAAACCTGGGGAATAAAAAAGCCTTGAGCTCCTATTCTGGCTTTTTTAGGGGGCAAGTTACTAAGCCTCTCTGGGTCTCTATTCATATAGCTGTATATTGGGTCAAATAATTCAAGCACCAAATCCTAGGATGTGATGAAGAAATTCCACAGGGCATCCCCATGGAAGGGCCCAACGTCTGTGCCCAGAGAGATGTTTTAAACAACACTGAAGATGGAAGGAGGCAAGCGTTACTGCCCACATTGGTTGTATGTGAGGTCACTGTCCCCCTACTGTCCAGGATGGGCTTTCCAGTCCCCAAGTATCTTCTCTGATGCTGAGATCCCTTGCCCCTAAGCTATAGAAAAGAGGCTGCAAATTGTCACTTGTGGGAAAGAAGTTCTCAGTGACTTTGAAATTGATGCTTCCCAGGCAGTGGGCTTTGATGGGGATGTGCGGAGCCGGGCAGGACCCTGGTCAGGCTGCAGCTTGCTTTGTCAGCACTGCCAGATCTCTCCCTAACCCCTGTCCTCAGCCTCTCCTGCACAACCTACCACCCAGCTCCATCTCCTCTCTCCTTGTTTTCCTGGTTCCCCAAAGGGAGTCATTTTGGGGATAACACTGGTTTTGGATGGCCAGATGTCTGGATGGGTGGATCAGGAACTATGTCTCTCCAAGCAGCCAAGTCCCCACAGATATCAGGGCAGTCCCTTCATGCTAGGGAAGGGACACATTCTGTTTCTAGCAGGGCCAAGCCAGGCTTGGCAGATGTGCAGTGAGGGAATCACCTGTGCATGAGGCCCAGCACTATAAGTACTTCTGCTGCCTGGATGGCCCTCTGAGCACTCGAGAGCCATGGCGGATGGGTTGGCATACAGAAGAGGAGAAGGTGGGGGGAGGAGTAGGGGAAGGAGAAAAGGGGAGAGGACAGAAGGGAGAGGAGATGAGGGAGCTTCGCTTTTTGAGCTCTCCATCTAGCTATATTCCCTCCCACCCACTAGCCATCCAGCCATCCACCTGTTCATTCAGCAGCTGACTCCTAAGCCCTCACTCTGTACCTGCTCTTTGCCAGTCTCTGAATGTGAGATTGTGATGTGGAGTCCCTCTTAACACTGTAGATTGATCCTATTGTATTGGACATTGTTCCCTAAGGCAGAACTCAAATCTCAGGCCCCTTCTCGCTCCCCTTGCTTGCCATCATTTTCTCCGTTACAAGGATCTTTAGGCTCATGGGGATACAAAGCAGACACTCATAAGGTAGGAAGAGGATGGTGTGGGAAAGAGGATTCAGGGCCACAACACTGAGTGTCATTTTGGTGTCATGGGCGCTGGGGTGGAACCCCCACAAATCATAGGACCTGGAGTACCTTGACAGCCTCCACCTTCCTGCGTAGCATGGTTTCCATGTCCTCTGAGAACTTCCTCACCAGCTCCAAGCCATCCACCTCCTTGATCCTCAGACTGGATTCCACATCCTTGTATTTCTGTGTAGGGGAAGTGGGAGAGATGGGCACCTGTGGTCTTGTACATGATTATGTGTGGCCTCCAACCTCCCAACTAGTGTATTCACACCTGTGAAGTCTTGTTGACTGGACTAGAGGCAAGGACAGGCCCTCCCCTTCTTGTATAATCTCCCCCACTAACATTAATAGTTGTCTCTTATCAAATGTCCTCTCGGTTCCAGGAACTCTGGAGATGTTGTGGTTAATATCCTTAAAAGGGAGTAGATCGAGGCTCAGAGAGGTCAACAAACTTGGCCAAGGTCACACAGCTAGTGAATGGAGAACCTCATCCTGGAATTCTGGAGAGCGCCCAGAATTCCATGTTTTTTGTGCAGTCATGCTGCCTCCCTTGGGCTGCTCACAGGGACTGTGAGACATCAGTTTATCTTTCCCTGACACCTAGTGGTATCAGTGTGGCCCCTTCTCACATCCATGTGAACTGAGATTCTCACTGTTGGGGCAGAGCTTGGCAGCAGCTGCAGGTAGGCCTAGGAATTAAGAGAGCTGGGATCAAATCTACTCTCTGGGCCCTCAGGAGATAATCTTTCACCTGGCATGTGTCTAATGACCCAGTTTGGCCAGCTAGTGGTCATGTGACAGGCTAGTTACTTAGTTTCCTCATCTACAAAACGTCACATTTGCATGGCTTTAGAGCAGGCTCTAGAATGCTTTTACCCAAAACGGCGACTGGCGACGTAGTTACTGCTGTATCTCCCTCACCCCCCTCACCCGGGGTTGGAAGGCACAAATGAGTAAAGTGCTTTGCAATGTAGAAGCTCCAAGTGAGCTTAAAGGGTCTGAGTTATCATTGCTGTAGCGGCCTACAGGGAGCGCAGGACTTCCCGTCCGGCCCACTCCCGCCAGCCAAGGACCAGCGGGCTGGAGGAAAGGGCTGCAGTGTGGCCTTGCGAAGGCATAAAACCCTGGGGGTTTACTCTTAGCAACATTTAGAAAATGGTGAAGATCGTACTCACCTAATGAATTAAAGCGTGAATATAAAGCTCTTAGCAAATGGTAATAATAAAGGATGGCAGGCTATTACTAAAACCAGCCTGGAAGTTATAAATATTAGAGAGAATGAGGTTGTTTATAATCCAGTGAGAGGACAGGCTTGGTGTCAATCTGCTCAAAAAGCAATTAATAAATAAAGGTGTGGAGGGAGCTCGTGCAACATCCTGTCCATCAGACACTGCTTCCCGCCCTGAGCCATGCACGGGCTAGGCCTCAGCAAGGGCCTGTGTGGGCGCTTGGCAGGGCTGCGGCAGGGCTGGAGGTCCTGAGAACTGGAGGTAAGGGAAGCTCTCTCTGCAGAGGCCATAGGCCCTCTCATCTCCTTCTACTGCCCAAGCACCTGCAGGATACTTACCCCTTTCTCCTTCCTCTGCATACCCCTTCACAGTCAGGCGAGCATCCCACTCTTCCTATACCTGCTCCCTCTCCCTTTTCTTCTTCATAGCCACACAGCCCCATCTCTCTAACAGCATCCTGGCATCAGCCTCTGGGGCATCTGAGCTGACACTACACTCTTGTGCTCTTGGCCACTCCACCGTACTGCCCCCACTGACTTGCTCTGTGACTTGGGCAAATCATTCCCTCCCGGGGCCTCAGTTTCCCCATCTGCAAATGAGGTCAATGGATTAGATAATCTCTAAGACCCCTTACAGCATGGACATTGGGACTTGAGAACTCTGCTTCTCCATCAGGAGGAAGTCCCTGACTGACTGCCCCCTGTGAGCTCCCTGGAAGGGGGTTACTGACCTTCTGCAGCAAGAGAGAGCCCGAGTATTTGGTCACCGTGTCATATAGGTCCCTGCCGAAGGTGTCTGCCCACAGCTTCACTCTGCCGGGGAATGAAAGTACATGTGTATACACATGCACCACACAGACACACAGATATGGAGACACATATATGCACACACATATATGCACACACACATGCACATAGAACACCAGCGTGTACACACACACACACACACACACACACGCTGATACACACACAGAGACACACATAGCACATAGAGAGACCCACATACATACATGGATGCACGTACATACCACCTACACCCAGAAACACCTACAAAGAGCTACCATCCCTCCTGGTCCAGGCAGGAGACCTAGAGGACCCTTTGGGGGCACAGCAGCTGCCCTCAGGGCAGGGCAGATGAGCTGGGAAGCAAAGCCTGATCCCAAACCCCCAAGGGTTCTGGTTTGTGGGTGGAGAACAGAGAGGAGAGAAAGGGAAGAGGTTATGGACAGGTCCAGACCAGGGTGGGGAGGATACTGAGGGTGGAAACAGGAACTGTTTGGTAGCACTGCAACTTTTTTTTTTTAATGCTTATTTATTCTGAGAGAGAGAGAGAGAGAGAGAGAGCACAGAGGTGGAGCAGAGAGAGAGAGAGAGAGAGGGAGGGAGACAATTGCAAGCAGGCTCTGCACCATTAGCACAGAACCCATTGCAGGGCTGATCCCAGGAACCTTGAGATCATCACCTGAGCTGAAATCAAGAGTTGGATGCTGAACTGACTTGAGCTACACAGGCGCCCCGGCACCACTGCAGCTTCTTAATGGGCTGTGCCCTTCAGTGTGCCCTGCTCAAGGTCACGACTGGCTGCCAAATCCTCTGTTGAAACTTCAGAGGGGACATGAGGCCAGGGACAGACGAAGAGGCTCTGAGCTGCTTTTGTGGGGGCAGAAAGCAGGCCAGACAGGGAGGGTGTGAGAAAGCAACCCCTCACCCTGGGTGCAGGCAGCCTAGTAGAGAAGCCCTGACCTCTGATCCGTCCCCAGAAGTGCACCAAGATCCTGCCACCTGGGCAGGCTGGTGGCATCCTGGGGAGAATACATAGGACTGTGTCTGAGCCTCTCCAGATGGAGCAAAAGGAGCTTACCCTCATGATCCTGTCAAGGTCCACATTAATTCAATCACTCAACCAATAATTATTAAGGTCCTACTGTGTGCCAGCCATTGTGCACAGCACTGCAGTCATATCACGGTCCTTCCTCATCTTTGTAAAACCCTCAGTTAGAAGGACACCCCTCCATATACAGATAGCATAATACATGTTTGAAGGGGAGGGGTGCCATTGCAGGGCTGATCCCAGCCCTGCAAAGGGCTGGGGAGGGTAGTGGTGGTACCAGGAGGCTTCTTGGGACAAGTGGGATCTGAATTCAGTGTTAGAAGTTTGGGAGAGTTTAGGCACCTGGGTGGTTCAGTAAGTTGAGCATTCAACTCTTGATTTCAGCTCATTATCTCACAGTCAAGGGTTTGAGCCCCACATTGGGCTCTGTGCTGGGTATAGAGCCTGCTTAGGATTCTCACTCTCTCTTTCTGCCCTTCTTCCCTGCTCATACTCTCCCTGTCACCCAAAGAAAGAAAGAAAGGAGGGAAGAAAGAAAAGAAAAGCACAGAAAAGAAAGAAAAGTAAAAGAAGTTTGGGAGAGTTTAGCCTGCCAAAGAGATTTCTAGGTAGAGAGTATAGAAGAGCTTGGAGGGGTCAAAAATGACTTCAGGTTTCTAGCTTGGGTAGTTGAGCTGATGGTGGTGCTATTGAGAATTATCAGGAAGATCAGGAGGAACAAGTTTGAGAGGGTGGAAGGTGATGAGTGTCTCTTGGGATATATAAATGTGAGGTTCCTGTTGCAAAGCTACTGAGTGCTGTAGGAGATGTTGTGCACTGCACAACTCCAGAAGGTACCAATTGCATTATATCTTGGAAGACACAAACTTAAACTTAAAACCTCACAAGATATTTAGAAAGAGCTGTCCACAGGCAATGGTATGTGAGTCTAACAAGTAGAGATAGGGCTGAGAGTCATTAGTACATAGGTAGAGTTGAAATTCTGAAGGTATATGGGCTCTCTCAAGGAGAGTGTGGAGCATGAGAAGACCTGTGAGTTGATGAAAAACCCTGGGAGGCACCAACAATCTGGGGGGCAGGCAAAGGGAAAGAATTGCTTGAGGAGGACAGAAGGTCAGCTCAGGTGCCCAAGGAGTCCCAGAGGAGCACAATGTTAATGGAAGTTGAGGCATTGAGATTCAAGTAAAAGAGAGTCCAGGGAGATGGAGCCAGGAATGTCTACTGGGTTGGGCAGGGAAGAGATCTTTGGAGATCTCGATGGGAACAGTTTTGGGAGGGCAGTAGAAGCCTGGGCAGGTGGTGGAGGCTGAGGGCTGAGCAGGAAGCAAGGGCACAGCTGGACACAGGGAGATGAAATGTCATCGGGGTGGAAGAGGATTCAGCAGGAGAGAGAGGTGGGGTTGTGTCAAGGGCCTGGCAGAGGTCCAGCTCCCAGGAAGAGGGCAGGTGCAGATACAGGCAGGTTTGAGGGCTAATAATCTCAGCCAACTGTGGAGGTTTCTAAGTAGATGGTCCAGTCTGCCATTCTCCTCAACAAAGACCTGGATTCCAGCCATCTTTACTCAGCACTCAGCCTATTCCTGGAGTTCCCCTTCTACAATTTTGTTGTGTATTCTGGGGCTGGAAACTCATTCTCAACATCTCCCTCAGCAACAGATAGTCTTATAGCCCAGCAACAGGTGAAGCACAGGCCAAGCTGACTTGAGTTTAGCTTCTGGCACTTCCGTTTACTGCCTGTGTGAACTTGGGGAGGTCATCCAACCTCTCTGAGCTTATTTCCTCAAGTACAGAATAGGGAAGCTATCACCCACTTCATTGCATTGCTGTGTGGAGTAAATATATTATTTATAAAGCACCTAACGCTGTACTAGGCATAGAAAAAGTAGAGGTTATACAATCCAGTGTAAACAAGGCTGCTCAAATCCATTGCTCAACAAAGCTAGACATAATGTGCATTGTTTGTCCTCCCTGTCTCCACTTCTGTTAAGAAATGAGGTTGACAGCTGGCTCTGGTAGCCTATTTTGCTGGTCATGAGTAGCTGGGCTTAGATATGGACTGAGCAAGCTGCCCCCTTTACTCTAGAGTTCTCTGCTCCCCACATACATCGGCATTTCTTTTTTTTTTTTTTAATTTTTTTTCAACGTTTATTTATTTTTGGGACAGAGAGAGACAGAGCATGAACGGGGGAGGGGCAGAGAGAGAGGAAGACACAGAATCGGAAACAGGCTCCAGGCTCTGAGCCATCAGCCCAGAGCCTGACGCGGGGCTCAAACTCACCGACCGCGAGATCGTGACCTGGCTGAAGTCGGACGCTTAACCGACTGTGCCACCCAGGCGCCCCAACATCGGCATTTCTTAATAGGACCACATGATCAAAGGACGGAAAACTAGACACTCTCAGAGAGGTTGCACAGCAATTAAACTTTATACCAAAATGTAAATGACTGAGAGCAGATTCTTTCCTGGAGCTGGGCTGATTGACAGAATGTAGAAGGGGGCCTGGAAGGAGGCAGAAGGGAAGACTAAGGCGACCAAAGTCCAATTTTACTCAGCTCCCGGTTGCATGAGCCATTTTGTTGGTTTAGAACTGCTTTACCCTTTCAGAATGTCAAAACACAAATTTCCCAACAAATCCTTGGGGAGCCACGACGATCATTTTGAGCTAGCACATCTCCCACTGCCAGGGGCGTAATGGCAGCGATTATCCTGGAAGGAGCATCCATCGGGCCTGCAGGAGCTTGAGATGCTGCTTGCCAGCCAGAGGAATGAGGATCCTCACTTCAGTTCTGCCTGAAGTCAGCAGGTGTGAGGAGTGGCAGGTGGGGCTCCTGAATGGCAGAATGTGGGAAGAAGGGAGGGAAAGGGAGAGTGGAAACCCCCAGGGGGAGCCCTGAGGGAAGCTAGAGGTCCAGGTGGGAAGGTGGACAGAGGATTGAGCTCTACAGGGGGAAGGAAGGGAGGAAAGGGCCAGAAGATTTTAGAGGGTTGGGGTGAACTTGATGCTTACGTTTCCAGAGGAATCTCGGTCTGCGCGTGTGTGGGGGACAGGGAGGTACTGGAGAGTAGCAGGCACAGGATGACCACGGTCTTCTGCAAGGAGGCCCAGGACCCTGGCCATTGGTGGCAGGGCCTCCTGCTGTGGGGGGCGCTGGTGTCTAAGTGGAACCTGGGGAGTCCTGGCATGGTGTCTCTGCTGGGCTCGGGGTGAAGGCAGGGAGAGAAGAGAGCAGTCTCCAACCGCCAGCTCCGTCTGCCTGTCACCTAGATCCTTGGGACAGCCCCAGGCCTTCTGCCTTCCTGGCAAGCCTGGGGTTCCCAGCTTTGTCTTGTCTTGGCTGCAACGCTTGGCAAGGGCGGGGGTTTCTCTCTGCCCACAGAGAACAGTGCACAGAGGAGCCGCCCCACCTGACCAGCAGGCTCCAAGAGGGGGCTGATGGTCTGAGGGGGGTGGTTGTGACAAAATGAACCCGTTAATCCATTGGCCTCTCCTCTAATCCCCTGCCTGACAGCAGGGAGGAGGAGGTGGCAGAAATGACCTCAGCAGGATTACCCTGATTTGAGAAGACAGGACTCGGTTCATTCCATTAGGGGCCAGAACTTTAAAGAGACAGCCCTGTTCCTGTAGACTTGTTTCTTCTGGACCCAAGGGGAGGAGAAGACTGTGACACTGGCCTGAGAACAACAGGGGGCATCTGTCTAGTGCTCTATCTTATCAAGAGAAGGAACAAATTGGGGCGCCTGAGTCACTCAGTTGGTTAAGGGTCTGACTCTTGATTTCAGCTCAGGTCATGATCTCAGGTTCGTGAGACTGAGCCCTGTGCTGGGCTCTGCACTGACAGCATGGAGTCTGCTTGGGATTCTCTCTCTCTCTCTCTCTCTCTCTCTCTCCTCCTCCTCCTCCTCTCTCTACCCCTCCCCCCACTCTCAAAATTAATAAATAAACTTAAAAAAAAAGATGTAACAAATTGGTGTTTTAAATCTTAGAGCCATTCTGGGAGTTCAGTGTCATCATCCCTGTTTTCAGGGGGCTCTTGAGGCACAGGTAGGCTTGGAGACGGAGCTGAGACTGTAACTCTGGCTCCAGGCCTGCTGCCTTTTGATGAGGTCATAGATAATGTCAATATCCTATGGCCCCCACCTCCCCCATGTGCTCCTGGTCCTAGGCTAAGGGACACGTTTGCTGGGAAGCTGATGAAGCTTCAGGGCCCCTCCCTGAGGGGCAGCATGTTCCTGTACCCAAATGTTGTGTTAATATATGCAAAAGTAAGATTGTCCAAGTACAAGTGGTTAATAGTTCTGTCTCTTTCCATTCCAACTTCTCTGTCTGATTTTCCTTTAGTTGGGTGATGTTTGAGTGCCTGTGGGCATTTCGGGGATCCAGCTAAGAGGAAGTTGAATTGGGGAAACATTTAATTTGGGCTTAGAAAGATATATTTCTGTAGCTCACTGTCACTTCCATGTATAGATAACTTATCTGCAACCATCCGGGTATAGGAATGGTTTCCAGGAACACTCTCATCACTGCCAGTGCCTACACTGTTCATCAGGACGTGCAGGTGCAGCCTAAGTTTATCATGGTGTGAATGTCCTACAGCACCCACCATTGGAAGTATGTGGGAGGGGAGGGAAAAATAAGGTTTGGAAATACTTTGAGCCAGAAGCTAGTCTGGCAGATTCTTCCAATGATCAAACAAGTAAAATTGCCAGCAGAGGATTTGGTTCTTATCAAGGCCTGGCCAAAACAGTTCTCTCTTGTTAGGAAAGTAGTCAACGTTGAATGTATGTAATTATAAATATAGCTTATATTGTCTTCTCTTCTGATGGGGATTACACAAAACATAATTTGACCAAAACTGTTGTGTTTGTGGGCCCAGTCTGGTACTGGTGCTACATGGGCACTGCATGTGAAGTCTCAGCTTACACAGAACACGTATCGGTGCTTCTTAGTGGATCTGATACATCGTGTCCTGACAAAATCTGCGGGTTCCAGCAAAGTGGCACACAAAATTACCACCAACGCAGAGAAATGCCTGAAGAAGCAAGTGTTTTAGTGACAGAACTCCTACACAGATTTATCAATAAGTCAATGTTGTAGCATCAGAGTAATCTGGTTACGCAATTATTTGGTTCAACATAACATGGCAGCCGATTTTTAAACGCATTTGAATTGTTTCTATGAATGCCTAATTTCAGATGAAGTTTGCACATTTTAAAAATACAAATCATAGCAAATTTAGAAAAAAGTACTACACAGGCTTATGGGACAATTAATAAATAAGAACACGTACCTTTTCTAGGTTTATGATTTCTGTAGTATTCATCACCTTAAAATGTGTAGTTTCAAGTGATTTTTTTCATTCTAAATAAATGTTCACTTTAATATTTATTTTTGTATTTATAATTTGCATTCCTTTTCTACTATAGATAACCACCCCGAAATTTTGCAAGCTTCTGACCCCACAACATCTGGCCCCTGACCCCTTTGTGGCACCTGCTCACTGAAGGCACTGACTTCTTCTAACGGGATAAGCATGGAGCTACATAGAAACTTTTGCTCACTTCACAGATACAACAGTGGCCCAGGTCCTACCTGGCCCTTTAGATTTGCTTGGGAAGACCTCAAGGTTCTTGTAAAGAAAAACACTGATATTACAATGGTGAGTAAAGGAAAGTGATGTCTTTTGAATGACCTACTGAGGTATTTCACTCTGCAAGTGCCTAACCAACTGTCTAGAGAAAAATACCTTTTAAATAACTCTAAAATAATTGCTTTGTATCATTGTTTACTCTGGCCCATTTTGCTCATTAGGACTATGACCCAGAGGTATACTGCATGATATTGGGAAACACTACGGATTGTGGTGGGAGCGGGGGGAGTAAGGGAGGGCAGAGGACTTGGGAGCCGAATAACTCCAGAGAAGAGATGTCTTAGTAGGAATAAAATGAAGCATGGGAGCAGAGCATAGAGCTAAGGGAATGATCAGTCCTTAAGACAGATGTTTGAAACTCAGAACCTTCAGGGGCTCATCCCTTAGCTGCAGGCCAGGATGGCATATTCATGCTGGCTAGGAGAGAACTGATGTTGTGGCTTTATTTTTTTTAAGTTTATTTATTTTGAGAGACAGAGCAAGTGGAAGAGAGGGGCAGAGGGAGAGGGAGTGAGAGAATCCCAAGGAGGCTCCACACTCAGCTCAGAGCTCCACATGGGGCTCGATCTCACAACCGTGAGATCATGTCCTGAGCTGAAATCAAGACTTGGACACTTAACCAACTGAGCCACCCAGGTGCCCCGTGGCTTTATTTTTAAGGGCCATAAGAGAAGGAGTATTGCAACTTTCTCTTGGTCAATGTTTCATATCAAACCCCCCACAATTTAATCAATCCATCCTAACCCACTTTCCTAGGGCATCTTGGCACCAAGCACTGGAGATATGATGCATAGAGCTGGCATGAAGATTGGATATGGTGCATGAGATAGGGCTCAGAGTCTTTACAGGAAGGCCGATCTCAAAACAACAGCTTAGGGAGCTAAGTGCTGTGATGCATAAGCGAAGTATTTGGCAATGTAGTAGAGGGGACATTATTCTCTCCTTATGGTGGGGAAAAAGGAGGAGGGAAGTTTTAGGGAAGACTTCACAGTGAAAGAGACATTTGAATTAGGCGTTATTTATTTATTTATTTATTTATTTATTTATTTAAACTTACATCCAAATTAGTTAGCATATAGTACAACAATAATTTCAGGAGTAGATTCCTTAATGTCCCTTACCCATTTGGCCCATCCCTCCTCCCTCAACACCTCCAGTAACCCTCTGTTTGTTCTCCATATTTAAGTCTCTTATGTTTTGTCCCCCTCCCTGTTTTTATATTATTTTTGTTTCCCTTCCCTTGTGTTCATCTGTTTTGTCTCTTAAAGTCCTCATATGAGTGAAGTCATATGATATTTGTCTTTCTCTGACTAATTTTGCTTAGCATAATACCCTTCAGTTCCATCCACGTAGTTGCAAATGGCAAGATTTCATTCTTTTTGATTGCTGAGTAATACTCCATTGTGTGTGTGTGTGTGTATCTATATCTGTATCATCTATATCTATATCTATATATCTATATCTATATCTTCTTTATCCATTCATTCATCGATGGACATTTAAGCTCTTTCCATACTTTGGCTATTGTTGATAGTGCTGCTATAAACATTGGGGTGCATATGTCTCTTCAAAACAGCACACCTGTATCCCTTGGATAAATACCTAGTAGTGCAATTGCTGGGTCGTAGGGTAGTTCTATTTTTAATTTTTTGAGGAACCTCCATACTGTTTTCCAGAGTGACTGCACCAGCTTGCATTCCCAAGTCTTTATTTATTTTTTAAAGTTTTATTTATTTAAGTAGTCTCTACACCCAACGTGGGCTCAAACTCACGACCCCGAGATTAAGAGTTGCATGCTCCTCCAACTGAACCAGCCAAGTGTCCCTTGACTTGGGCTTTAAATGATGAATAGAGTTCACCAATTGGAGACTCCTCAATGGATAGTTATAAGGAAAAGACAGCATACAAGAAACAGAAGGAACAAGAGTAGGAAACCATGGTCATGTTATGTTGTTTACACTTGTTGGAAAATAGTCAAAATATCAGATATCCATAACTGTATACTAAGTTATACTTAGTGGCTTAAAATAAATCAATATATTATTTAGTTAATGAATGTGTATTTTGGGCAGGGCCCAGCAAGGAAGGCTCTTCCATGCGGTGTCAGAAGGACAACTTAATGGGGCTGGAAGATCCACTTCCAAGGTGGCAAGTTGGTGCCAACTATTGGCTAGGAACCCAGCTCAGGCTGAGGGCTAGGAGACTCAGTTTTCCTCCACATGGCTGCTCAGAGTTCCTCTTCGTGGACAGCTTGGGTTTCCTCACAGCATGGTGACTGGGGTCCAAGAGTTAGAATCCCAAGAGAATATACTGGTTGTTGTATTGCCTTTTATGGTCTGCCATGGAAGTCCCAGAGCATCACCTCAATTGTGTTTTATTGGTTAGTTAATTATCAAAGGGAGGAGACACAGACCCTACCTCTCAATGGCAAGAGGGTCAAAAATTTGCAGACATGTTTTAAAACCACCACTGTGAGGGTAGTAGGGTGAGGGATAAGGGAGGATGGTAAGGGTGGAAGGGTTGGGGGTAAATGAGGTGAGAAAGGTGCTGTAGGAGATGAGGCTGAAGAAAAGTTAGATTATACCTAAATTATGAAGGGATTATATTAGTTCTTTCTAAAATATAACTCAAATCTCCCCTGCTGCAAGTCCACATCTATTGGAAAGTACCGATTTATGGGTGTGGCAGTACAGGGGAACAGGTGGGTGGGAAGGAAAAGAAACAGGGAAGGAAAAGATATAAAAGAGTCATGTATCTGTGCTAAGCTCCTTTGTGCACAGACTACAAGTG